TTTAGCTCCCAGGGCGGGGGGGAGGAGGGCTGCGACGGGGCGCTATTTCCGATGCCTTTCTCCTGTCCTGGTCAAGCCAGTTTCTCTGTGCCTTTCCCCCATTCCTGCTGATTGGCAAGGTCCTGGAAAAGATGAAGACGGACAAGGCCCGGGTCCTTCTGATTGCCCCAGCATGGTCCACACAGCATTGGTACGGGACCCTCACGGGCCCGGTGGTCACCCCGCCGTGGCTGTTGCCGTACTGCCTGGACCTGCTCTCCCAGGACCAGGGCCGCCGCCTCCATCCCAGCCTAGTGGCACTCCACCTCACAGCGTGGCTGCTCAGTGGTTAGATAGGGAGGAAAAGACGTGCTCAGAAGGGGTTCAGCGTGTCCTCCATGCGCTGAGCCTATTTGGCAAAGTGGTCTCAGTTTTCCAGAGGGGCAGATAAGCAGGGCATTTCCCCGGTGGCCACCCCAATCCATCCCCTGGACTATCTCCTTCACCTTAGAGTCCAGGGCCTGGTGCCCTTGTAAGTCAAGGTACACCTGGCGGCCATATCGGCCTTCCATCCACTGGTGCAGGGCCACAGGGTATTCTCCCATGCTATGACTGGCTGATTCCTTAAGGGGTTGGATCGTCTCTTCCCTTATGTTAGGCCCCCAGTCTCGCAGTGGGACCTAAACTTGGTGGTGGCCCATCTCACAGGGCCCCTGTTTGAGCCGCTAGTTACGTGCTCCTAGTCACACCTCTCGTGGAAGGTGGCCTTCCTGGTTGCGATCACATCAGCTAGCCGGGTCTCCGAGCTCAGGGCCCTGACCTCCGAGCCCCTGTACACGGTGTTTCATAAGGACAAGGTCCAGCTCCGCCCACACCCCTCGTTCCTCCCAAAGGTGGTCTCTGCCTATCACATGGGTCAGGACATTTTTCTGCTGGTCCTCTGCCCCAAGCCCCATGCGTCCAGTGAGGAGTGCTGCCTTCACATGCTGGATGTGAGACGGGCTCTGGCTTTCTACCTGGAGCGGACTAAGGCATTCAGAAAGTCCTCACAACTGTTCATTGCCTCGGCCGAGCGCATGAAATGTTGGCCAATCTCCACTCAGCGGCTCTCCAACTGGATCACCTTGTGCATCTGTACCTGTTATGATCTGGCGGGAATCCCTCCGTCTCCAATTGTGAATCATAGAATATCTGGGTTGGAAGGGACCTCAGGAGGTCATCTAGTCCAACCCGCTGCTCAAAGCAGGGCCAATTCCCAACTAAATCATACCTGCCAGGGCTTTGTCAAGCCTGACCTTAAAGACCTCTAAGGAAGGAGATTCCACCACCTCCCTGGGTAACCCATTCCAGTGCTTCACCACCCTCATAGTGAAAAAGTTTTTCCTAATATCCAACCTAAACCTCCCCCACTGCAACTTGAGACCATTACTCCTTGTTCTGTCATCTGGTACCACTGAGAACAGTCTAGATCCATCCTCTTTTTGGAACCCCCTCTCAGGTAGTTGAAAGCAGATATAAAATCCCCCCTCATTCTTCTCTTCTGCAGACTAAACAATCCCAGTTCCCTCAGCCTCTCCTCATAAATCATGTGCTCCAGACCCCTAATCATTTTTGTTGCCCTCCGCTAGACTCCAATTTTTCCACATCCTTCTTGTAGTGTGGGGCCCAAAACTGGACACAGCTCTCCAGATGAGGCTTCACCAATGTTGAATAAAGGGGAATGATCATGTTCCTCAATCTGCTGGCAAGGCCCCTACATATACAGCCCAAAATGCCGTTAGCCTTCTTGGCAACAAGGGCACGCTGTTGACTCGTATCCAGCTCCTCGTTCTCTGTAACCCCCAGGTCCTTTTCGGCAGAACTACTTCCTAGCCATTTGGTCCCTAGTCTGCAACGAATGGGATTCTTCTGTCCTAAGTGCAGGACTCTGCACTTGTCCTTATTGAACCTCATCAGGTTTCTTTTGGCCCAATCCTCTAATTTGTCTAGGTCCCTCTGTATCCTATCCCTACACTCCTCCCAGTTTAGTGTCATCTGCAAACTTGCTGAGAGTGCAGTCCACGCCATCCTCCAGATCACTAATGAAGATATGGAACAAAACCAGCCCCAGGTCCGACCCTTGGGGCACTCCGCTTGATACCGGCTGCCAACTAGACATGGAGCCATTGATCACTACCCGTTGAGCCCGACAGTCTAGCCAGCTTTCTATCCACCTTATAGTCCATTCATCCAGCCCATACTTCTTTAACTTGGTGGCAAGAATATTGTGGGAGACCGTATCAAAAGCTTTGCTAAAGTCAAGGAATAACACATCCACTGCTTTTCCCTCATCCACAGAGCCAGTTATCTCATCATAAAAGGCAATTAGGTTAGTCAGGCACGATTTCCCCTTGGTGAATCCATGTTGACGGTTCCTGATCACTTTCCTCTCCTCCAAGTGCTTCAGAATTCATTCCTTGAGGACCTGCTCCATGATTTTTCCAGGGACTGAGATGAGGCTGAATGGCCTGTAGTTCCCCAGATCCTCCTCCTTCCCTTTTTTAAAGATGGGCACTACATTAGCCTTTTTCCAGTCATCTGGGACCTCCCCAGATTGCCATGAGTTTTCAAAGATAATGGCCAAAGGCTCTGCAATCACATCCGCCAACTCCTTTAGCACCCTCTGATGCAGCGCATCCGGCCCCATGGACTTGTGTTCATCCAGTTTTTCTAAATAGTCCCGAACCACTTCTTTCTCCACAAAGGGCTGGTCACCTCCTCCCCATACTGTGCTGCCCAGTGCAGCAGTCTGGGAGCTGACCTTGTTTGTGAAGACAGAGGCAAAAAAAAAGCATTGAGTACATTAGCTTTTTCCACATTCTCTGTCAATAGGTTGCCTCCCTCATTCAATAAGGGGCCCATACTTCCCTTGACGACCTTCTTGTTGCTTACATACCTGAAGAAACCCTTCTTGTTACTCTTAACATCTCTTGCTAGCTGCAACTCCAAGTGTGATTAGGCCTTCCTGATTTCACTCCTGCATGCCTGAGCAATATTTTTATACTCCTCCCTGGTCAATTGTCCAATCTTCTACTTCTTGTAAGCTGCTTTTTTGTGTTTAAGATCAGCAAGGATTTCACTGTTAAGCCAAGCTGGTCGCCTGCCATATTTACTATTCTTTCTACACATCAGGATGGTTTGTTCCTGCAACCTCAATAAGGATTCTTTAAAATACAGCCAGCTCTTCTGGATTCCTTTTCCCTCTCATGTTGTTCTCCCAGGAGATCCTGCCCGTCAGTTCCCTGAGGGAGTCAAAGTCTGCTTTTCTGAAGTCCAGGCTCCGTATTCTGCTGCTCTCCTTTCTTCCTTGTGTCAGGATCCTGAACTCAACCATCTTATGGCCACTGCCTCCCACGTTCCCATCCACTTTTGCTTCCCCTACTAATTCTTCACCGTTTGTGAGCAGCAGATCTAGAAGAGCTCTGCCCCTAGTTGGTTCCTCCAGCACTTGCACCAAGAAATTGTCCCCTACACTTTCCAAAAACTTCCTGGATTGTCTGTGCACAGCTGTATTGCTCTCCCAGATATCAGGGTGATTAAAGTCTCCCATGAGAACCAGGGCCTGCGATCTAGTAACTTCTGCTAGTTGCCCGAAGAAAGCCTCGTCCACCTCGTCCCCCTGGTCCGGTGGTCTATAGCAGACTCCCACCACATCATCACCCTTGTTGCTCACACTTCTAAACTTAATCCAGAGACTCTCAGGTTTTTCTGCAGTTTCATACTGGAGCTCTGAGCAGTCATACTCCTCTCTTACATACAATGCAACTCCCCCACCTTTTCTGCCCTGCCTGTCCGTCCTGAACAGTTTATATCCATCCATGACAGTACTCCAGTCATGTGAGTTATCCCACCAAGTCTCTGTTATTCCAATGACATCATAGCTCATTGACTGTGCCAGGACTTCCAGTTCTCCCTGCTTGTTTCCCAGGCTTCTTGCATTTGTGTATAGGCACTTAAGATAACTCGCTGATTGTCCCGCTTTCTCAGTCTGAGACAGGAGTCCTCCCCTCTTGCACTCTCCTGCTCGTGCTTCCTCCCGGTATCCCATTTCCCCACTTAGCTCAGGGCTTTGGTCTCCTTCCCCCGGTGAACCTAGTTTAAAGCCCTCCTCACTAGGTTAGCCAGCCTGCTTGCGAAGATGCTCTTCCCTATCTTCGTTAGGTGGAGCCCGTCTCTGCCTAGCACTCCTCCTCGTCGGCTGCCTTTTTGGCCCACGTCCCCCATTCAGGACACTTGTAGGGCTGCCACGTGGTCTTCAGTTCACACATTCACTTTGCACTATGCAATCGTCTCCCAGACCAGGGATGATGCCGGGTTAGGCAGGGCTGTGCTTCGTCCCGAGAATTTGTGGTTTCCTACCCACCTCCAACAGATATAGCTTGGAATCACTTATTGTGGAATTCACATGAGCAATCACTCGAAGAAGAAAAGACAGTTACCTTTTCTGTAACTGGTGTTCTTCGAGATGTGTTGCTCATGTCTGTTCCACATCCCTCCCTCCTTCCCCTCTCTCGGAGTTGTCTGGCCACAAGGAACTGAGGATGCGGGGGGCGTGCAGCGCCCCTTATACCGCGCCATGGAGGTGCCACTCCAGGGGTCGCTGGGTTGCTCCCCTATGGGTACTGCTAGGGAAAAACTTCTGGCACCGGTGCACGTGGCAAGCACGCACACCTATTGTGGAATAGACATGAGCAACACATCTTGGAGAACACCAGTTGCGGAAAAGGTAACTATCTTTTACTTGTCACATACTGTTGCTTTATGAAGTCATATTTTTTCCCCTTTGTGCATAACTCTTCCCCAATAAGCAAAACCAGTTTAGTGAGTGGAGAGAATATTAAGTTTAAGATCCAATGTTTCTCTGCTTTAGCTTATCTTGTAAGATTGTCTGGAGAAGCAGAACAATGTGTATTTCTGTTCTGATCATAATAGTCTTGAATCAAAGTTCTTCTGCAGATAAAACTTTTTTTTTAATGGGATAGATCCAAACTTCGTTATAGCCAGCAGGTGTTTACAGATGGCTCTCCAGGAGACCAGTGGACAAAGTACAGACAACCACAGCAACAGAAGCCATATAACAATCATTCTGAGATGTCTGAAGCTCTAAAAATAAAGGTAGGTTTGATTTCCAAATCCATTAGATTTGTTTGGACCCCTTAAAATCAGTGGTAGTGCTTTGTTCAGACTCACTTAATTATTTATTATTTTTTTTGTAGGGGGAGATACTCTTGGGTTTATTTCTTTAAGTGATGGGACTTCATTATATCATGGAAATAGTATTGTCTAGTGATTAGACCAGGGAACTGGGTATCAACAGATGGAGAGTCTTTTCCAACCTCTGCCACTGGCTTGCCGAGTAACCTTGAACAGTAGCTATAACTTCCTTGTGCCTCAGTTTCTAATTCTTAAAATGATTTGAGGTACTTGGATGAGAGTTGCCATATAAGTGGTATCATAATGTAGTGGGGTATGACACTAGCACTTAACTTTTATTTGTATTACCTTTTTTGGGTGTGGCTGACTCAGAACATGAGGGGTAATGGTAGAAAGCAATATCAAGACACTTCTAACCAAAAGAAGAGGACAAATGGGGTCCACAGTCAGCCAACGAAACAGAACCATACATTGGTAAGATTGACAGCAATAATTCTTGCATTAACAAATTTTGGTGACATTTAACTGTGTGCGCAAACTAAGGTTTTGGTGTTAAACGTTAAATTGCACGTCCATGAAAACAGGTCTTAACGATAGTGTTCAGTGTACGCACTGCAGTTGACGTTTCTCATCCCATATACATGTACACTTGCAGAGTATTGAATAATATAATTTATCCAATTCGCATTTAGTAATTGAATTCTAATGCATATTAAAGTGATCCTTCCTGCGATATTCCAGGTATTTGACAGAGAATGGTCTAGTATTGTACATTGCAATGGCAAAATATCTGCTGCTTAAAAATGAGTGTATAAATATTTTACTGTGGTATGGCAAAACCACTGTGTTTGAAAATGTAAAGTATATGCCTAGTCACTCCCCTCCTTTCTGCCTGGCTACAGTTTGAGGTGTAGGCTTCAAACCTATATCCATGGCACAATGGGATCAAGTTCTGCCTCAACAAACCCTAAATCCCATGACATTAACTTATTCAGTCACCATAAAAGACCATTAATTACATTTATTTCCTTGAGTACTGTTAAAATTAAGGCAGGTATTTTGAAGAGTATAATGTATGCTCACTTTCTTAATCAGAAATGTGAAAAAAAACTTAATCCAAGAAGACTTCAGGATAACTTTGAAACAGGCAAGTATATTAATTTTCATTTGTATGTGAACATACTAATTTTTCACTTGAAACAATTTGAGACTGCATCAACTTATTACAGTACATGCCGAAAAGGGAAACCTTTTATTAAATGAATTAAACTCAGGGGTAGTCAATAGGCAGATGGCGGGCCAAATCCAGACCACCAGATGCTTTTGAATGGACTGCAAACTCTTTTTATTTACTGGTTGTTTTCTCTGGAATCTGGACCTTGACTATACCTTGACCAAGAAATTTGGACCTTGGCAAAAAATTATTGCCCTAACCTGTGCTTTACAGAAGAGAATTAACCATTTGGGTAAAAACTGCTAATGTAACTCCTACAAAACTTGTTTTGACCACTAGGTGGCCAATAAAGATAAGGAATTCCTTGCTACGCTTTTTGTTTGAAATGATGACCAAACTGATAAAATTGCCAGTGTGAGTAAATGCTAATTGAACATGTACAGCTTTTTAAACCTAAATAGTAGCATATTTTCAATGACCTCTTCATTGATCAATACCATTTAACTTTCAACTTTAGAACATATTTTTGTCCTTTTTTTTTTTTTTAAGCAGATGCAGCAGCGTATGATGTGTGTTTCTCCATTGAAGACCTGCTGGAACATACAGAGGCACACTCTGTGGCATGTAATGGTCATTACAAAATCACTTTCTCATCAAGAGCTTTCTTGAGCTTCAAGTTTGACTATGATGCCATAATGAAAAGTTTTGACCTCTGACAGCAAACCTATTATGGATGAACAAAAATCAAAGACTGACCTTTTGCAGTTGAGTGGGTTTCTAATCCAGCCTTACTCGTTCTCAGGTGTTTTTATTTTTTATTTTTAAAGCAATGCAGGGACTGAAAGATGATTTGGAAGGGTTCATTCTCTTTGCAGTATGGAAGTGGCATAGTGAATTGTCGCACTTTAAATGCAGTTCCGCCTTTATTCACGAAAGTACCTTTCCAGTGTTTGGTTCACTAGTTCCTGCTGTTGCATTAGAGGGCATTTTTTTTTTTAAACTTTGAAATATTTTAGTGTTGGCTGTATACTAACACACTAAACTTTGAACCTGCTCTGATGTAAAGTTGTTGGAACACTCAGTCTTTATTTTCTAGTACTTTGCTGTAGTATAGCAATTAAAGTAATTCTCAGAGGACACCCATTTTCTCTATCCCAGCAATGTTGAAATCTTGGAGCTTCTGTGCTTAAAAGAATTACAAATTTCAAGTCTACTCGTTTGACCTCATCTTTGCAGTTCTCTTCTTCTCTCCGGTTGTCTGCCGATGTTCTCTCCTCTCCATCATGCTCGAACTCATTTTAGAATGACTTGCAGTCAGTAGAACTCAAAACTAAATCCACAGGGTCCCATTCTGCCCTGACTTACACCTTTTCCTCCTCTGTCTTCTGTGAGGATACGCTTGCTGGACAGAACTTGGCCTTTCACACGTACTTGTTTCTGTTCTTCCTTTGTGTCCATTAGAAATGTTCTCCCGTAGGAGAAAGTGGGATGCGAGCCTTCTTTCACTTGCAGCTACTTTTAAGATGCAGAAAGGAAAAGCTAAATTTTGTGGGCGAGGCGATTCTTATGTATTGTGCTGAATGTAAATAAGCCTCTGCAGGTCCTGCTGAGGGAAGGGGAGGATTGAGGCAGATACGTGGATGACTAGAGAACGTCACCTACCACCTAATGGCTTAATCAAGTTTGCAATAACTGTTCATTATTGTGTTCTATACTGTTGTCCTTGGAGGTGTCTAGTGTAATGTGTGTTTTCTCTCTCTATATATATATCCAATCGTATTGAATTTGATATTGCAGTTGCATCTCAGTATCTGAAAACTGTAACAAAAATGAATGAGGCTACAGCCTTTTAATAAGTATATCAAAGATGTGAAAAAATTAGCAGTAGGAATGCAAATGATATTAAGTAAAAAAAAAATTAGTCATACATCCTTGCATCATGATTTACTTGAGAGAGTTTTGAATATACATTTCAAAAGTATTTTATTTGGGGTTGGAAGCAAATGAAACTCTTCACTTGTCTCAGCAACCAGTACCTATATTCCCCCCCCCCCCTTTTTATTAAAAAAGAAGTGGATGGTTCTCTAAAATTAAGCTAGGTGGGTATGATGTGTAATTTGGAGGACTGAATTGTCTTCTATCAATGGCTGTTCCAAGGCTGTGTATCTTCTGTGGTCAGAGAATGTATGTTCACCCACAGACAGCCTTTTATATCTTTTTGGTGTGGTATCCACAAAACACAATCCCTGTCTTCTTGCAAACACCCTATAATATCTATTATCTTATATTTGCCCTCAATAAATAGCGTGTTAGCTTATTTTTATCTTCTAATCTTTTCATCCCTTTGGACCAGGGAATCTAGTAATTTTCAGTTGTTAAAACATTTCCCATTAGCCAGGAAAGCTGGACTCCTCTATCAGTTAACAGGAGAAATAGACTCCAGTTTTTCCATTTGGATAAGAAAGTCTTACAATGGGTCAGTTTACTTTTAGAATAGTTGTTGAAGTGACTCTTTTGCTTCACCTTGGTGTGGTGGCGGCGGCGGGTTGACAGCCAGTAATAATGTTCGGAGGTTGCTTAAATCAGTAAGGCCCAGATCCTCAAAGTTATTCAGGTTGCCTAACTTACAGTAATGTTTGTGGGAGTTAGATCTTCAAAAAGTATTAGGTACCTGTGCCTAAATGCATATGTCCTGTTATTTAATTGAGAGGGCTGGATAGTAAAGTTGGAGAGGGCTGAATGTGTCAATTTACCTATTCAGATCCAAATGAAAACAAAGCTTTGTTCAGTCCTCTTAGAGTAAGTAGTTGATTTCAGGGATTTGGAGCTGTGCTCCGGCTCTGCTCCAGCTCCAGGCAAAAACCTGCAACTCAACTGCTCCGTGCTCCGCTCCAAAGCCCTGATTGATTTCCTAGCAATAAGTGTCTAGCTCATAAGGAATCAGAAGTTAGCACTCAGACCTCCAGGCTGCTAATGCCAGTGAGTTTAATGAGACTCTCTTAACGCATGATTAAAAATCAAGCTTTGGAAAACTTTATTTCTGATTGGTAGATTGACTTTTCAAATATGTTCCTTTTATGCCTCTTCACTTAATGCACCATGAATTAATAAGGGGAAGATTGATAGAGCTGTGTGAATTTTAAACTTGAAACTTCCACTTGATGACAGTTTGGGATGTGAACTGGCTCATAGCAATATGAGAGGAAGCCTCTAAAGTGAGGTAACTGCAGAGTGTGCATAAGTGGGATATGCCTTACTGGGATCACTAAGTGTAGATTTTTTTTTTTAGGCAAAAGTTTTCATTCATTACAAAAATACCTGGCTTCCTCACTGAGGAATCCCAAACAAAGGCTGCAGAAAACAGGCCTGATTTTATGAAATCTAGCATAAATGTGAGTTGAAAATAAATTTGATAAATATGCAATAATTTCTATTTCTTTGTGTACAAGGTACTGTTTCAGAAATATGTATTGACACAGTTTCCTTCTTTCTCGAGGTCTCAAACAGCTTATTAAATGTGTTTGTATATGACCTGCCTTTGGGTTTCAGGGTGCCCTGCACTGTGAACATTTCAGATTGTTTACTCTTACTAGTTTTGTATGTCCTTTTTATGTGTTTTATGTTCAAAATGTTAAATGAATCATTTTATACTTTGTATTCCAAAGTGTAGGAGTACACCTTACAGGAATGTCTGTAAAAGAGTGAAGAAATAGCAAATGGATGATTGAGTTTCATTCAGTGGATTTTTTGGTTTTCAGAGTGGGTGGGCATTTGGTGAGGCAAGATTATCTAGTCAAATTGACTGTGAATGGACTTCAGAGATCTAAGTGCTTGTTGGTGTGAAGATGCTTGAAAAGTAAGCATGTCAGTTTACTGTGCTTGGAATAAAACAACTCACCTGCAGTTGCTAATCAAATTGTCGCTCACTCATTTGTGTCCTTGAAGTTAAGACTCATGAAATTATGAGGAAGAATGTTTAATGGACAAAAAGCTCAATGCAGGTACTGGAAATTCTGGAATTAGTTCACGTAGCAGTCACTAGTACTACATAAACAGTAATTTATTTTAGTTTTTTAGTGGAGTTGTATGCATTTTCCCCCCAATTCTTTTTATGCAGTGTGGAGTTTTAGTTTTTAATTTTGGAGGATTTTGTGACTATAGACTAATTTAGCATGTTTTGTAACTTGATTGTCTTTAAAAATTTCCATTTTTCAATACACATTGCGTGCTATTGAATCCTGCACAGAGTTTGAGCTCTAGAGATAGAGGTATGGAGAGGGGAAAATATTTTATTTTAATTCACAATTGAAAGCTTCCCTTTCTGTATGTTTAGTTTATAGTAAGTCTCTCTTACAAAACTACAGGTTTACATACCGTGCTCTGATCGTAGTTTACTTTGGAGATCTACAAAAACAATGTTCACTGTGTTTAAAATGCTGCATGTATAACCCCTGCATTTGAATGTTAAGGCAGACTGTGCAGTCTGGTTATTCCTAACATGTTTCCAATCAGATTGCATTTTCTTCTGTGATCACTGATTTTTAAGTGGGTTTTTTCAGTGTGATTTGCCCCCCAACCCCCCCCCCACTGCCCTCATCTTTGGCTGGCCTGAATCAAGCTCTATATCCGTGTTGGAACTTAAAGTGTTACTGTTGGGCCATATGGCCAGTTTTATAGTGTTAGCTCAGTGAGCTTTTCATTTTTAGCTACCTGGTTCAAATCCTGATTTAACAAATCATACTGATTACTTCAGTCTAGGAGCTAGAATGTCTTGAGTTATTCCAGTGTATTTTCTCTGGGCTAACCCCAAGGTGCACTGAATTTGTAATTTATTCTAATCTATGTTGGGAAGCCAAAATTTTTGGAAAAATGAGCTTGTGGAATAGTATAAATCTCCTTTATAGACTTAAGTAATTTGCAGTTTAAACATAGGCACAAGACTGTTGTTTTAGCTTTGTTGATATAAGTTTCAAACTGCTTTTGGAATTACACTAGACCAATTATTTTTTTTCAACCTTTTTGTGGACCTTAAAAAATTTCAAATGGAGGTGTGGGCCCCTTTGGAAATCTTAGACATAGTCTGTGGACGCCCAGGGGGCTGCAAATCACAAGTTGAAAACCACTGCCCTGGACTGACTTTGAGTCTACTTCAGCATTTTAGTGTTGAAGCAACCAAAATATTTAAGATGTGGAGTTTATGCATGAAATTAATTCACCCATAATAGAAAGTGCACTATGAAGGCTCTCTTACAGTAAACGAGGCTTAGAAAGTTAAGCTCTGGTCATGCTTCCCCCTCCCCCCTTTTTTTAATATATATTTGTAGCAATGTTCTTATTCATCAATGGAGGGAGCAAGAGAATGGGCTAAAAGCTAGTATTTGCACTGTTTTTTATACTGTATGTAAGCACTGATAAGAAATGCAGTGTGTTCTTTTCCAAGTGTGCATTTCACTACTGTTCCAAGTAAGTTATAAGCCTTACTGTGAGGGTGTGATACTGCATATGTAGCAATTCCTTCCTTCATGGTCACATTCAGGATCATGCAAGAACAAATGTCTCAATTTTAAATGTTGTTCTACTGACCTAATGCTTGGGTTTAACTTTACAGTGACTTTAGAAACCATGAAAATCAATGTTTGCTTTTTTCTTTAATCTAATGTGACTCCAATTTTAGGACAATCTGTAGGAAACATGAACCAAAATGATGACACGTTCTGTATTACAGAAAGGCCTATGCTCCTGATAGTTTGCCAGCTAACACATACAGGATATTTGGGGAAGGAGCAGGATGGGATTTAAGGAGTTTTACTCAATGGCTTGTGAAGGTATCTGTTCAAATGATTTCTGGCTGGACAGGAAGAAAAAACATACCATTTGGTAATTCTGCAGGAAAAAGAACTTGTGTGTAGAAATAACTTGTTCATATTTAATTTAACAAAACTATACCATGAAATTGTTTAAAACATTCATACTGTATGAATTATTTGTTCAAAAGGTAAATTGTACAAAGAGGTGAAAACTAACTTTTAACTTGCTAGTCTTTTATTACATATCTTTTAATAAGATATAGAAATCATGGTCTAAATGTTGAAAGTGCCACAAATTTTGTGATGAGAAATGCAACAGATTTTTCAATGAGATGTTGATGTACATAAAATGCTATAATTAAAACTTAATTTGCTTTGCTGATTGTGACAAGAACATGATTGAATCTTGTAAGCTCTCTTGAGGACATTCGGATAGAATTATTACACTAGGAGGGGATCACCTTTTATTCTCACCAGTTTGGAACAGTCCTGTTACATAAAAAAACATTAGATGAAATGGTATGCTAATAAATCCTAAGAGCTACCTGATTTCTAGAGAGCAAATATATTTCTCAGTCTTCTAACAGACAACCACATACAATATCCAAAGAAAAATTATTCCATGCTGTACAAAAAATGTCTAAGTTCTATGATTGTCTTGCAGAAACATAAGCAATGACAAGGATTAGTTCTGGGATGAGGAAGTATTCTGTTGTATAGGCCAGGTATGAGTGATACTTTAAGAATGAGGTCCATCTTTACTGGTGGTAGGTGTTAAATGCTCATACTGGCTTAAATAAAATGTATTTGTAGTATTATGCTAATTAAACATGAAAAGTTAGTTTTATTCCGTTTCTATGAGCTAGTCCTGAAGAGCACCATTCAACTCTTAAAATTTAGGTAAGATCTGTAACCATACTAACAAACAGATTACATGTATTTTTGAAGCATTGTGTACATTCACTGATCTAGAAATTGAAGCACATTGTTTGTTAGACCATTAACATTTAGAGTCATTGGCTGTTCCTTTGTAATTCTAACAGTAAAAAATGCTTTAAAGTATGACTGGATAAAATTGTTATGTTCATACTCATACTTCATTATTACAGTAACTGTTGGCGGTTTGAAATTTCATGTCTGTGCAGCTTACAATCTTACACTGTAGAATGTTTTGACTTATATTGCCTTAAATGCCCAGTAGTAGCACTGATTCTACATGTGCCATTTACAAGCGCGCTAAAGTTAAAACTGACTGGAGCTGGATTCTGAAATTTTTAAAGACAATGTGAGCAGGACATAAGGGGATGCTTTTGACAATGTTTGGAACATTGGATGAGAGGATTTACTGTCAGTGCTTTTGAAGTATTTGTGAAATGGAGTGATTTGTCATTAAAAGAATCAAATGTGTTCAACTGTCTATATGTACCCTTCCAATGTATAATTGGAGGGCCTGTTTCATATTCTTCTTGTACATCTTCTCTATAACTTTAATGAGGTATCTGCAGACCTACTTTTAAGTTTAATACAGTCCTGGGAAGCTGTTCCTACTTTATTTAAAAAAAAAAATCCAAAGTATAGGGGAATGGAAAGGTGGTAAAACTTCTGTTTTCCTAGTAGGAAAACAGAACAACTCCACTTAAGGCATCTATACTAATGTTGGAATTGACATAATTTAAGGACATTAAGTTTTTTTTAATAGCATTGTCAAGTGAAAATAGGTAGGTTCATTTAGTCTGTACCATCTATCAAATCTTCAATACATGATTGTCAAGTTAAGTTTTAGAGTGTATGTAACTAGTTACAGGACTGAAACTAATAAGTGAAACCCATACGTTAGCATTAGAAATATTTATTCAGAATATAAGAACATTTGTAAAATAAAAAGTATTATAAATGTCTCTGTATAAATAAATGCAGTTTTTACAATTCTATATCAAATAAACACAAAACTATTTTACAATAGCTAAGGAACTAAAAAGCAGAACACGGTTAAGGCAAATCAATTAGGTGAAAAGTCTCTAAAATTACAACATATAGTACAATGTTAAGTGACATTTTTAAATGAAAAACTTCCAGTATAAACAGTGGAATACTGACGTTAATGCAAATTTAGTCACATGTGCTTTCTAATAACTAACAATACATTCAAGCTGGTGTAAAGGTTTTTTATACCTTTTTAATTAGAAAAGTACTTTTTCAGAACAATATGAAATATAAAATTTCATGCACTGTATGACGCTCAATTTTTAAAAAGTCATAAGAACAAGATACAAATTAATACACTCTTGCACTTGTCTGTTAAGAGACTGAAGGAGAATTGAATAGGTTCTTATAAATAGAACCTAACTTATCTATTGAACTCGAATGAGGTTTTTTTTTAAATTGTGGGAGTCTACAGGTGATGTAAGTTACTTCTGAAGATAGAATGCACACTTGTCAGTTCAGATAAAGACTACATAATACTTCAAGCTGGTGTTTCAAACAGTTGCATAATTAAATATTAGGTTTTGGAATTTACTGTTTTAAGATGGTCATCATTTTTGTAACTAGGGCTACTGCTACTTTTAACCTATTACAAGAAGCACTAAAACATTGAACACAAACTCTTGATAGTGGTGAAATAGCTTTACACCAATTTCCTATTGGTCCTATCCCCACTCCCTTTTCTAATATACTAACAAATGAAACAGTACGTTGTAGGTACCCACATCTCCCTTTTAACTGTTGGAGATTCCATGGCAGAGGCTGTGACAAAGCAAATACGGTCTTGCTCATCATCATGGAAGAAATGTTGGGTAGGTTATCTTTAATCTTTACAGCATTCTTAAAATGTATTTGAAATAAAACAAATTGCTAAAAACAAACTCAAAAGGCAGGCTAAAATTGGCACCATTACAAAATAATATGTAATCCTTGTGATTTAAATGAGTTGGAAAACTTGTACATCATTCCTCATCCCTTTGAAATCTGAGTAAAGTTCTGGCTCAATATTCCTGCCTAATAAAATTGTCTATACACAGGACAATTTTGGAGAGCAACAAGGCAAGCCTAGACTTTGTGGTCATATAAAAACTTCTACCTAATTCAAAACAGTAAATCCTCTACTAAACAGAACCCCTTTGCCTGAATAAGGGGACCACAGCTTTGGACCTATTATCTAGCCACTTCCATCTAGACTTAACCCTCACCATCAGACTTAAGGACTTGAACACTGCTGCCTAATGTAGGGCTGATCTCCAGGAGGTAAAGTTGATGGCTTGAGAGTCCTTGAACCTGTGGGACCTGGCTTAGAAATGATAATGTGAGAGATGCACTAAGTAGGGTTGCGCACACATTCCTTTAGCACCAGCAAAGTTGGGTCCCTGTGGTTGCAAGTCAGGTAGCAGAGCTCTACCAGGTGGCCCTTCATTTGTAAGTAATGCTGTCTCTTTCGTTTATGCTGGTGTAGTCAAGAAGCTGGGTTTGGTATGGTTGCAGCTTATGTTGTTTCAGATTTGCTACTCAACCTTCACTGATTTTAAGGAAAGAGAACAGCAGTTGCTGAAGGGAATGAAAGCGTTGGAAACCAGCATTAAGAACCATTGAAGTTTAAATCTCACCTAAAGCTGTTTTTAACCTGCTCCTTAAAAACCTGAAAGCAAATCCCCTTATTGTCCCTGCTTAACATCTGGAAGCAGCAAAGCATGATACCAGCTAGGAAGGCCAAAGGCTTAGTCTAGGCAAGGATTACTCAGGGTAGAGAGCCATGGCCACAGCTCTTTGGAAATACTTTAAAAGCTAAAGAAGCCTTTAGAGAGAAATTCACATCACTTTAAACAGGTCTAGGAAACTCAAGACAAGTCCCAAAACAGACCAAAAAAAAAAAACCAACAAATTCCTGTAACAGGTGGGAATGACAGCAGACTTTTGAAAATCTATTTGCCAAGGAAAGCACCTCAATCTTGATCCAATACTAAACATACTAGCACTGTAGTAATAATAATAAAGTTAACTGATGCCAGGTTGATTAAACTGATGAGGGTGGTTTGTTTTATTTTAAGTGCTCAGACAGTGAGAAAACAAAAGTCCTGTGAACAAGGCCCAAAGGAGCTGGGATGAGTGCCATGTCTGAGACTACACCTTCTGCTTCCTAGAGGTGGCAACCTGATCTCTGTGCTTCACTCAGCCTCATTCAGTCTTACCATGTGCTAGCTAGCATGACATGAGAAACAGACTGGCTTGAACAGAGAAGTCCACACATAACACTAACTTACTAACAAATAGCCTATAAATGTATTTTTACAATAGCCATCAGAAGGCTGTGTTCATATAATTTCTACTCACACTGTACTAAGAGCCAGCCATTTGCTCACTCATTTTGTGTGTATGTATCTATGTATACTCACATTCGTGTGCATTTATTTTAATATTGAATAGGTACATTCCTTATAATAAGTACCTTTTTAGACAATCCCTCAAGTGCAGAGAGGGTTTCTGCCTCTTGGTCACACACAGGTGTAATGGAACATTATGCTGATCTAATACTACTCTGCACCTAACAGAGGCTTCTTTGAGGAAAACCTTGTCTATAATGTAATGTATTTTAGAAAAATAAATCCAACTTTTTCTACATTGACTGTCAGCACTACCCTGTAACATGAAGGACAAAAACTTCCTACCCAATCTTGGCCCCCACACTGTAAATAGAAAGCATGTGGCCACATACAGCCTGTAAGGGCATAAGAAATAAAACAGCATTGTAGACTTGCAGCAAGAGCTTTCTAGTTGCTGTGATCAGGAATCCTGTCTGGGTAAAACGTCTCTGAATTAGCAGGAGTGATCCTCCTCCATCTGCTGGGCTGTGTGGGGAGAACTGCAAGTTTGGTGCAGGGTACAAACCAGGCTGTCATCTTGCACACCTCCCCCTCACCAACCATATACATACAATAGATGTAACAGCAAATCGTACTGCAAGATTTCAGGACAAAGAGAACATGGGGGCTGGGAGATCTATCAAACTGGCTTAATCTGTGCCCAAACATACAAAAGCATCTGAATAAGTGCGATTTTGGCATTGTCTGAGGAGTAAATTAAAAGCAAGGGAATGCATCAAGATCAAAATGAAAGTGAAGGACTGCCACCCATTAGGATTTGAGGATGGGTGATAACCCTGCATGTGTGTGTATATACATAATCACATGTACTGTGAATGACTGGAAACTTTACCTTCAGACACTGTCCATTTCAAGCAGTGATCAATAAACAATCCTTTGCTAAAATAGTCTCCCCATTCCTCCTGGTTTGATTTGACAAAGCCACAAGGCTGATCTATGCCTGTTATGTTTCAGATCCTTAATAGTGTTCACTACCTAAAATCAGTTAAAGGAAAAAAAAAAAACTGGTTTTTAATGGCACTAATTGTCATCATATATATAATTTTAAAGCGAAGTTTCATTGGTGTGAGGTCTTGAGTTCTCTTCCTCCAGCAGTGCTATTCTTTGTTTGAGCATCCTCACTTGAGTCTCATGCCTCTCGACCATGGCCATCATTTGTGACTCTAGTTTCTTCAGTTTGTTTTGATGCTTCTTCTTTGCTTTTTCATAAGCTGCCACAAGGTTACTGTTAGAAACAGACAGCAATACAAGATCATTCAACAAAACTAGCTCTAGCTAAGCACCTAGAAACAGACACCGAAAATCAGTGGCCACTTTTGAAAATTTGGCAAAGGGATTCCACCCCTTAAAATTTAATATAAAACTTTGAACATGTTTTTTCAAGGTTTACAAAATGATTCTCTCACAAGCAAAGACCTTGTTTATAAAAAGTCTCAGCCATAGGAAAACTAATGTTCCTCCCAGAAAATAAAAAATCATCAAATGAAAGCCCGAGAGGCCCAAATCCGGGAGAACAGGGTCTAATTAGTGAATGAAAATATCTACATCAGAGGAACTCTTGGTGGCATTAAAGCAACATATCTAACTCGGATAATTTATTGTGATGCATCACTATATGCTTGCTGCACTAGTGCGCTATGCAGTTCCAGGTTACCATATGAGGTCTGAGGATTGTGGGCCCAATTGTTTGAGGGGCCGAGCACCCGCACCTCCCTGCTGTAGAGGCTGCTCAGCATATCACCTAGGCCTGGGCCCTCGGTGCATATCACAAAGGGTTTTGTTAAGGAGACACTGTCAGGTAGGTTTATGATCAAAATTTAGAGATTGTAAATAAAAAAGATTTATAGAACATAAATGTTTTAATTAAATAATAATAATCACAAATAGTTCAATGGATGAGGTTTTTTACTGTTTTTGTCCCCTGCCAAGCATTTCCCAAAAGTGTGGGGAATCAACAAAGGTGTGTTAGTGCCTGAGAACTAGAAGTTGACACTGACGTGTCTAGTCTCTCCATAGTGAATGAAGTACAAAAAGGAATGAAAGTATTATATATTTTTAGTGCCGCATTGTTTATAAGAAGGAAGGTGAGTTCTAGAGCAGGGAGGAAGGTCTGGTGGGTAGGGAATGGGATAGGGACTTGTGAAACCACTGTTCAAATCCTACCCCAGGCATGAACCTGGGCAAGTCATTTAATCTCTGTGCTTCAGTTCTGCACCTGTAAAATGGGGATAAATACTACTTCCCTGTAAGGTAATGCACCTATGAGCATGAGGTGATCAGGTATTACAATGATGAGGGCCATATAAGTGCCTAGCTAGATCTTGAGAGTGTCCCTTTGAAGTCCAACAATGTATTACATTTAGTTGCCAAATGCCCTCTCTTCAACCTCCCCTTTCGCTCAGTAGGAGACCCCAAATGGGTGCTGGTTGAAGATCAAGTCTTGCCCACCACCTCAATGGCCAAGACTTTCTCTAACAGGTAAAGTATGGCTCATGAGTGACAAATTAGACAGTGAACGGTTGACTCTTTGAAGGAAGGGGACCAACAATTGTAACCCCTCAGTCCATCAAAGCCTATTGATGCAGACCAACTGGGAGATGGGGGCACAGTCTGTATCACTGTCAGTGCTACACTTTAAAGTACTGAGTGGGATTATGGAAGGAAACTTGACAATAGGAGAATTTGAAGGGATAAGAAGAGATGCATGAGCCAGGCCAGGGAGGTGGTGAACAAAAACTGCAATAATTCACAAACATGATTAAACGGAGAACTGTTTTATAATGGATGATATTTTTAACTGCAATTGAATCTCTCCCCACCCACCCACGAACACAGGTTATGGAGCACACAGTGACAAGGATTAGTCTCTTCCCCCAACTCTAACCTTACATTCTTCAAGACTCTACGGACAAGCAGCTGAGGATGTAGAAACTGTTCATTAGGGAAAGGAGAGGATTACAATGCACTACCAGAATGCAGCAGAAGTCAATGTGTGCATCCATTCACTAGAAGATCCTTTACCTGTTTGCCCTTTTCAGGTCATTAACAAACTCTGCAGACTGCTGATGTCTGATTTCACTGCTCTTCGTGAGTCTCTCTAAGGCACTCACTAACTCTTGCACTCTCCCTTTCAGTTTCTTCTCTCTGCACCAGGACACAAGGAGTGAGGAAATCAGTTATCCATATAATTTGGACTTGCAAGAGTATAGACCGCATTCAACAAAGTTCCTTCTGTTAGATTTAAAGGAGGAAAACATTTTTTATACTACTTTGATAATGCAGGAGTTAGTTTTATGAGGTTAAACTTTTGTTAAATTGATTTTTTTAGAAGCAAAACAGTAACAATTCACATATTAGGAATGTAAGATAAAAAGAAATATGGACAAACATTAGATCGTCACTGGGGATGGTCTTGTCCACACTACATCTCTCTCACATAAGCGCAGAATGTTAGGATGCATGGAAGAAGATATTAGTATATAGCATATTCTATATATTATATATTTAAGATGGAAACTCAGATAGTAAAGTAAACAATATAAAGAAGTTAAAACCTAAAGCTAATATATATAAAACAATTAAATACAAACATGGTGGACCTAGGATAACTAGGTAATTTGCTAGTCAAACATTATTTGTTTTTATTTAAAAATTCTCTTTATTAGAAAAAACTGCAGGAAGACTCACTACATAAAAGAGGGAGAAATCAATAACTAAAGAGGAAGGCTTCACTAGCATCCAAAACAACCACCAGAGTCACACCCTGCAGGAAAAGAAAGGAGGGTCTCATTGTTACGGAAATTAACAATTTCCGTACTGGATTCCAGCCTTTACCTCTGCTTAAGTTCCTATGTGATGCTGGGCAAGTCACTGAAACCAAACGATTCATAAGTGGTCAGTAGTTGTGTGTTTCTCATTTTCTGGGTGCTCAACTTGATTGCCAGGGTCTGATTTATAGAGGTGATGAGCACTCACAGCTGCAAATGAAGTCACTGGGAACTGTGCTTTGAACATATGAAGTGCTACAGAATGGAAAGTACTATGAAAAATCAAGTGCTAGGTGCCTCAAGTTGGGCACCCAAAATTACTGGAAACTTCTGACCTTAGCACTCTATCTCCATTGGCAATAATATCAACTTATCACACAGGGGTGTTGTGAGGATGAAGTCATGGTTTTGAAGCACTCAGATACTATAGTGATGAATGCCACTGAAAAACCCACAAGGAAATGAAGAATTCTGTCTTCAGAGCAGGGTTTGAATAGCATTCAATAAATAAGACCCAGCGCTACACATTGAACAATGAGGAAAAAACAAGATGGTGAATAGGTGCTCATTACATTCATTCTGTGCACTGAATGTAGCAGTCCTGTGGAAAAAAGAGTATGTGGTCATGTAATTAGAGACTGCATAGTTCTAGCATTTCTTAACTTTTGAGTCCTTTGCAAACTTAATGTTCTTTTAACATATGTTTATTACATACACAAAGCTATCATGCTACCAATGAGACTATACAATTATCTACTGTAGTGATTTATAGGGGGAGCATGGGTATTTTTCAGCATAAAGTAAAAAGAGCTGTTTGGAGCAGCTTCAGGATTGCATTTAGGTTCTTTGCTGCCAAGGGCATCTTTAATTTCTAGACGCAAGGTGTTGGAATCCTGAATTCATACAGTTCACAAATACTCAAGGCATACTAGATAACCTACCCAAGGCTAGAGATTAGGTATGCTGTCTGGTAAAGACACTGTAGTGAACGTGTAAAATCAAATCCCTTGTTAAAACTTTTGATTGTGGGCCTGCCTACCTGCTAACATGAGATCCACTAAAATAGTCTCCATTTGCTGTAAATGTCCCTTTTTCAGTCCAAATTGATCAACAGTATTTTTTTAATTGCACTGACATTTTGAACTTTATTGTGAATTCCATTCACTTCACCTCACTTAGGTTCTACTAAACTTTATTTACACATCTATTTTATTTGATTTATGCTTCTTCCGTTTCCCCTCTGGGCTGACTGTACTGGTACATTGTTCCTAGGTCAGGGGCACTGTGTGTGCATGTGTGCGTGCGCGCGCAACTTTAACCGTGATTCCAAGGGCTACTTCGTCACCTGAACACACTAGGGTTTTTTTTGCAGATAACTTAGAAATTAGGTGATAGGAATTAGATATAGTGCTCCTATGTAAAAAAAAAAAAGATTTAATAAATAATAGACTCACAACTCTAATACTAACATATTCTCACATCTTGTGTCAAGTCACTTAAGGAACACTGGTTAGGTTTAAAATGTTAATGTATATTCTTCGCTACTAACTGTTGAATACAACAATTGAAACAATTATAGAAAAATCTAGATTACTTTTATCACTTTTTTGCAGTTCTTCAAACTTGGAATAGATCATTTAACTTTGGAAACGTCCTCCTAGGGTAATGCCCTATGAGTTTATACTGCATCTGCCTGGGGCTCTAGAGGTGTGTTATCTCACTACAAACAATAGACTAGAAACTAATCTTAAACAGGAGTGAAACTGACACTTTCAAGTCACTTTCACAGTATTGCCAATCCCAAATATTCAAAAATCATTAATCAGACTCACCAAATATCATGAGATTGGCTTTAAAATCATGAGATTAAGTATAAATAACAGATTTGGGGTTCTTTTTATTTGCCTTCTGCTTTTTGAGCCTTTAGGTTTCACTGGGGTCACATTTTGAAGCTTTCTGCACAGCCACGAGGACTAGAAACTTCATTTTTCTTTAAGAATGAAAGCTGAAATCATCACATATCCACTCGACTCGAGGAGCTGCGGCTTTAAGGAAAACAATCATCATGAGACTCATGACAAAAATCATGAGAGTAGGCAACACTGCTTTTACTTCTGTTTAAAGGCTAGTTGCTTTCCAGAAGGCTCTTAAACAACACTACAGTGATTGAGTTGCAGTTCTCACAGGAGGACATTTAAAACCAAACACCAAGAAAATTCCATATTTTAAAGTTAAGGAAAAAAACAGACTTCTGAGCTATATCAGGACCACTGCAGGCAGGTAAGGAAAATAAACAGGCATAGGAGCTCTGGACAGCTCCTCCTTTAGAAAGAAAGTTGGAGGGTCAAATCTTCTAGTCCTTAATCAAGTAAAACTTCTATTGCCATCAGTTCCTCCACTCACAGATATAAACATGACAGTGAACATGTGATAACATGTGTGGTCAATAACTACACACTATATACTTAAATATCTGAGCCATCTTATCTAGAGTTACACATTTTATATGCATTGACTCAGGGACTGGATTTTCTGGCATATTCTGAACAACGCTGAGCACACAGATGAATAATGCAAATCATGACAATAATTGTTGACTTTATGGATTCTGTGGATGCAGTTTCTGTTCTTTGTTCTGGAATTGGCCTGAATACAGCTGAAACCCTAAGAATTTGAGGCATAAACACATCTGATACTTCTGATATGACACTTTCTCATTCCTTCCTTTTCTCAAACTCAGAACAAAAAATGACTGAACAAAATGGTTTTCAGTTAAAATGTAAAATTGCACAGCAGCCACTGCTGTACTACCCAGCACGGGGCAGAACCTGCAACCCCTTGGGAGTTAAGTGACCTCCTCTCATCTGACTCTCATTCTCCATCCTTCCTAACCCCTGTGCTGCTTTTCATGCTGTCAACCATGACATCTATCCTGGGACCATTTGCTGGAATCTCAGAGAACAGGCCATCTTGGTTTTGCTCCCATCTATCAGAGTCCTCTTTTTTTTGCAGCATGCAGCAGAGAGAGAGGCTGGTCTTCTGGGTAGGGAGCTAGCTCCGAGAGACCTGGATTCTACTCCACCCATGGACTTCCTGTCTGGCCCAAGGCCAGTGCTTTAAGGACAGAATTTCCAAGGTTTTTAGGCACCTAAAGATGTAGCTAGATATCTAATGGGGTTTCCAGAGCATCAAACCTTCTAAGTGCATTTGAAAATCTCACTAAGTGCCTAAATACCTTTGAAAATCTGGCCTTTAGTCTGTGTGTGCCTCAGTGCCCCATCTGTAAAATCATAGATTAGGGTTGGAAGAGATCTCAGGAGGTCATCTAGTCCAACCCCCTGCTCAAAGCAGGACCAACACCAACTAAATCATCCCAGCCAGGGCTTTGTCAAGCCGGACCTTAAAAACCTCTAGGGATGGAGATTCCACCACCTCCCTAGGTAACCCATTCCAGTACTTCACCACCCTCCTAGTGAAATAGTATTTCCTAATATCCAAGCTGGACCCCACTCCCCCCCACTGCAACTTGAGACCATTGCTTCTTGTTCTGTCATCTGCCACCACTGAGAACAGCCGAGCTCCATCCTCTTTGGAACCCCCCTTCAGGTAGTTGAGGGGATAACAGCATTGCTCTACCTCACCGAGGGGCTGGGAGGAGAAATAGGTTAGATTTGTGAGGTGCAGCCTCAGATTATGGTGATGAGACTACATAAGTACCACAGGTAGAGTGGGAACTTCTCTATACACGGGTAGCCCTTCCCTGGGTTTGACTCCTTCTTTTCACCTACACCCCCAAATCTCTCCCTTTTCTGAATGTAACCTAGGCTCAGTGCTTTGCTGTATTTTTTCTGAATCCCCCGTTCTCTCTGAAACAACCAGTCAACCTTCTCTCCCCACCACGGAGGGATTCCTCTTTTACACGCTAAATTTCCATACCCTTAATTTAATCACCAGCTCTTTCTTATCTTAATCACCCTGCCTCTGTTTGTAAACAAAATACTGACTCCCTGCTCCAGGGGCACATCTCCTCCACAGAACTTACATTTCACACTAATGCTGTGCTGTAGTTAAGGACCTGGGAGCTTGCACACCTCCTAGGGAGGGGCTCCCGCGCTCCCCTGCCTGCCCCCCCCCCCCAGTTGACGCCTTTGTCCTAGGTCCTTAACTGGAAATCCATGGTGTCCAATTTATGGCACCACTGATAACCTCAATTCATTGGTTTAATCAACAAACCCCAGTTCTTCATTACAAGTCTCTGATGTTTATGCTAGAGGCATCATCATGATATGCAGTTTCCAACTTCCGAAGCCACAAGGGAAATCCAAAAGTTACGGCTAAAAACAAGACAAAGTACTGACCCAACCTCCACCTGTCTGA